CCCACGCCCGTTGTTTTTCTGTTCGCTCAGCGCCTACGACTACGACAACCCCCGCTCGCGCGCGGAGTCAAAACGGACGACCGACCCATCACAAACTCCGTGTTTTCTTCTCACAAATCTCCACCTTGGAGCGCTCCCAGGCGAGGCCTACTTCTAACTTGACTGATTCCTCGGGAGAGATTTTCTCACAGCTCGACGAACGAACGTACGAACGAACGAACGAACCTCCGTGACGCGAGCAGACGGCTCTGCTGACTAAAACCGTTGTGCATGCGGCCCGCACACACAATTGTCACACAACGCTCACTCATAGACAGTCTTGTCTTCTTAGCTCAAGTGTTGTGAGGTGTACAAGTGCACAATTTCCCCCGACACACACACACGCGCGCGCGCGCGTATGCACACCCACAAAAACACACGTACATACATCCCCACGCGCGAGATCAACGGGAGCTCAGTTAGGACGTAGTAGTCTACACAGTGAAGGATTGTTTTCTGTGCCTGATTGAAAGGCAAGCAGTGTTTTGACACGCAACTTTCAAGACTATTTTGTGACTTTTTTGTGTTGTGTTATCACAGAAAAACATCAGAGCCTCTGTTTCTGTCTGTTTTTCTATGAGGACACACTGATGCTCTGAAAGACTCTTTATCATAATATTATTTTGTTCCTGATTGGAAAAGAATATCCCAGTTCACGTGGAAAGAACAAGGCGGATAAAAGAAAGATCCAAATAAACAAAGACAAAACATAACAAAGAACAAACAAAGAGGAACAAGTTGTTTAGTTAAAACAACGTCAATGTTTTATTCGTCGTACGGTTTTGTTGTTTAACGTTGGAAAGGACAATTACGGACAATTGCCTGCAAGGTGTGAAGTCACTTTCCACGGGAGGAAGACATTTCCTTCGGACGTGATTCTATTGTGAAGGTAAGAGAGTAACACTATGTAATATAATGATATATAATAATATTATAATAATGATTATATATAATACAAATGTAATATATAAAATAATGATGTAATATAAATAACATGGATGTGGTAGATCTGTGTTTAAGTGTGCTACCCTAAAGACCTGAAATTTTGTTACGATCTTCTTTTCAAACTCCATTAATATCCACCTGTGTCGAAAGTTGTCTGACAAATATAATCGTGGTCTTGACTTTGTCATGAGTCTGTGTGTTGTGTAACAACAAGTGATAGTTTTGTGTCGCTATTCTAACTGGTCCGATCGTACCTGGACTTATTTGTGCCGGCTGTGTGGGGGTGATTGCATTTGCGCGCGTGCGCGCGCGCATGTGTGTGTTTGTGTGTGTGTGTGTGTGTGCACGTGTGTGCGCGCGTGTGTATGTGTGTGCGTGCGTGCGTGAGTGTGTGCGTTCACGTACGCATGTTTGTATGTGTGCAAATGTTAGAAAAAAAAAGGGGGAGGGTTGTTGACTTCGGGAGTGTTTTAAGTAAGGTGAAATAGCGGTTTCAAGTCCAGAAAACGATGTACATGTATACATGTATAGATCTATATTTATTTTGTTCCCTCGAACATCTCATTTAATTAATCTGTTTTACTTCGACAGTAAATAATCCCCATACGCCAAAACTCCGGTTTCTGTAATTCCATAGAACCAACCACGTAAAAGAGTCTCACCGGTGTGTGTGTGTGTGTGTGTGTGTGTGTGCGCGTGCGCGTGCGTGCGTGTGTGTGTGTGTGTGTGTGTGTGTGTGTGTGTGAGAGAGAGAGTGGTGAGGCGGTTTGGCTTTTCGCCGTCACACGCCGTAAGACCCAAGTTCAATCTCCGAGTAGGGGAAATGATTATCACGTATTTCGGTCTATCTGCTTGGAAGTTGTAACAGTTTCAGTCAGATTTTATTCTGACAGGCAGAGTCGAAGCCTACCTCCCAAATGATCTAAATTGTGTCGATGGGGGAGTTATCCACGTCAAAGAATACATTATTTTGGTTTGCTCTGTCGTTGTTATGTTTGGGGTTGTTTGTTCTTTTTTTTATACTTAATTGCGCGACTTCTCACAAACGAAACGTAGAGTGCAAGATTATTTTTGTCAGTATGGAAAGAAAGAAAGAAAAATACATGTATACGATTTCTTAAACAATAAATTACAAACATATAAGAGAGAGAGAGAGAGAGAGAGAGAGAGAG